TTATTATTATTATTTATGTAAACATGTACGTGTGATGTTTTTTTAAATTTATATTTTTTTTCCTCAATAATATATATATATATATATACATAAATGATGATGATTATGTTGAATTATAAATAAGTTTATTTAAACTTATTAAATAATCCAACCTTCTTCCATATGTTAATCCATATCTTCCATGTTTTTAAGAATATTGATTGATAAAAAAAAAATATTTAAATAAATTTACACATCAATTTTATTAATATATACATAATTTTTTGTGTTTTTCTTCATATTGACGTCATATTTGGCTTTTTATCAAAAATATAATAAAAAAAAAAAAAAAAACAAAACTCGAATCATCAGACATTAAGCAAAATAAAAGTTTTTATTGTTCGAATGTAAATTTAATTTATTAAAAAAAGTTTTAAAAGTTATTTTTAATAATAATAATAATATGTTGGTGTATTTCATTCATTTGTAATAACTGGTTAATATATTCTTTATTGTTCTTTTGCAAGAATGGAAAGTTTGTGAAAATGAATTCGAAATTAAAATTTTAAAAAATCTCTCAGAGATTTTGCATTTTTTTCCTTTTTTTTTTTTTTTAAAATAAATTTATATTATTGTACATATATTTACTTAGTATTTACAATATATTAGCACCCGCAATTAAATTCACAGGCCTTCCTTTGTATCTTTTCGATATATCATCTTCTATCCATTTTTGTAATTCTTTAGCTTTTTTAATCAATAAATTTATTTTTGGCTGTATCGATTCAGCTTCTTTAATAGCATCAGCTCTTTGAATTTTTATCGCTTCTTTAGAAGCCAACATTTTTTCATGAGCATTTAATTTTTGCTTCAACTTATCAGTCATTTGATTTAGAAATCTAAAAAAACAAATGAAAGGAAATTATGTAATTAATAAGAATTCAGAAGAAAACCAAGTAATTAACACAAATTAAAGTATTCTTTAATAAAAATTCTTACTTTTCATTGGTCATGATGTTAAGATAATATAAAGATGTGGGATTTGTTAAACTTTGTTTAACCGCATTGACTTTATCGAGCATGTTTTGAAGTGTTTTAACATCGTGAGCTTGCAAACATTCAGGAAGCATTGTTAAATTTAAACCATCTTTTTCTGATGTCATTTCATAAATTCTACTCTTTAAAAATGTTTCCAATTCCAATACATCGCTCAAAATTAAATTCCTCGTGTCTATGTGGCCTAAAAGTGTATAAGCTTCCTCACCTTTTGCAACATCATCCCCGAGTTCTGCAACCGGTTCCTAAAAACGAAAAACAATTTTTTTTTTTTTTTTAGTTTATATAATTACAATGTAAAAAAAATTATTAAAATGTAATAAAATTACATTTTTATTTTCTTCAGAATCAGCAGATGTAATTCCCCAATCGATATCATCATTAACATTAAAATCTATGTCAGGCTCTGGGTCTAAACCGAAATCGATAACATCATCATTTTTATTCATCATCATCATCATCATCATTTGCTACAAGATTAATCGCTTCTATTGATGATGGAACTTTATTATATTTCCACTGATAAACTGTTGTGTTTCCATTTTCTAAAAAAATCAAATTAAAAATTAAAAATAAATAAATAAAGAGTTGAAATTTTTAATTTCATTTATCCTCACCCATAATGTATTGAAGAGTTTTTAATGGAGTTTTATTAGGATTTAACAATGATTTAACAACATTTATATAAAAATTAACAGGATCTTTTAATTTTTTAATTTCATCTGTTATTTCAAGGCACATATCAGGAAAATGTTTTGATTTTTCGATAAGCTCTTTTTTAATTTTAACTCCTTTTATATCGAGAGATTTGCACATTGAATTAAAATCTCTCATCATTGTTTCGGCCATTTTTTCATAGTTTATTTCTTTCTTATCGTACTCCTGTAAATATTTGTAAAAAAAAATTTTTTTAATTTTGAATAAAGTAAATAAAAAAAAAATTATTATTAAACATTTTTTACTAACTGTTTGGAGAGTAGCAATTTTTGAAATTTGTTTTTTTAATGCTGGTACTTCGTAGCTCACAGTTCTTTGTAACAAGCTAGCAACTTCACCAAGGTAAATGTTATCCTTTTCATATAATTTAACTATTTCTACCCAATCTTTCATTCTCTGGGATGTATATTGTCCGAATAAATTTTTAGAATTTATTTCAGTTTCTTTTAATATATCAATAATTTTTTTACAGTGATAATAATTGATGTCTAAAATAATTTTATAAAAAATTTTTAAAAAAAGATATTTTATTAAAAATTTTTTTTGCAATTATGTATTACTTACATGAACCAGCTAACAAATCTGTTATTCCTTTATTTTCAGGCATATCTTTTATGGCTTCATTAATTTTTTCTCTTACAACTAAAACTTTTTTGCTCCAATCTTTTGGTACATGTCTTCTACTGATAAGCCAATCCATGAGCTTACTAGTATGAATATCAATAGGGATTTCTGATTCCTTTAAATAAAAATTAAAAAAAATTAATTTTAATTAACTTTGATTCAATATAATAATAAATTAAATATTTAAAGCAGTTTTAGTCAAAACTTACATCCATTTCTAAATAAAATTAAAAACAGCTGCGATAAATAATAAAAAATTAACTTTCAATAATCAACACAAAAATTAAATGTCACCTCATCTATTGTGATTTACGAGTATAAAATATACGTAAAGTTAAGAAAAATAAACGATTACAATTAACAACTTATAATATTTGATTTACAATTTATTTTAAAATTCTGTAATTCAAAATACGGTAGTGGTTTTGATATGACAACGTAACATTATGAGCAGAAAGCAAAGTGGCAGAAGAGTTCTAGTTTTACGTTAAAAAAGTTAAAAAATTTGCGCGGGAATTTTCAAGGTTATTACAAATTTTAAGATTTATTATCATTATTTATTAAATGTCTTTTCTAATTCAATGGGTGACATAGAATTCATTCCAATCTTAGATGAAATAACATCTGAGGTTAACAATTTATTATTTTCTACAGTGTATTATGGAATTCATTGTGAAAGAAATTGTTTATTGATTAAACATCAGACAAAATCTTTAATGGTAGTACTTAAAAATGAAAAAAATTGGTAAATAATTAATGTATTATAATTGACATGTTGAAATAATATTTACAAAATTAGTACATTCAATATCTTATATCTAGTATATTGTGTTTGTATTTAATTTAATTTGTAATTTTTCAGGAAAATTGATTTCTACACCAATGTATCTTCTCGAGATAAAAGCATTAAATCAGGTTTAAAAATTGATGGATGTCAAAATACAATTGTATTACTCGATGATAAAAATAAAATGTGGAAGTTGATAAATGCTTTTGAATTTTCAAATGAAAAGGATGAATGTTTATATTTAATCGATGAAAAATGCTTTTATGAATGGGTACCAATCAAAAAGTTCAACGAGTATAAAGTTTTCGATATTACAGGTAATTAAGGGTAAATTTCTTTTTTAACACGACAGAGTTTTGTAAAAAATTAAAATCCAATATTAATATTTGTTTCAGCAACTAAAAATGGTTTTGCATGTTTATTCGAACATAATAAGAAAAAGTTTTTGCAAATTTTTTCATGTACCAATTTTAATCTTCTCGAAGATTTCACATTTGATATGCTGAATGCAACACTATCTCAAAATTACTATTTAAAAAATATAAGTAGCAATGAATTAAATTCTGATGCCAATAATTCATTAATAATATGCAACAGGCTCGACGGAAAAGTTTCTTTGCATACAGGAAAAGACGATTGTTATACTGTTGCCACTTCGAGTATGAAATTAATATCAGTGCTTAATTTTTTTAAAAATAAGTGTTTATTGCTTTGTTATGAAACTGGAAAATTTTTATTCATTTTATATAATGAAAATTTTAATTTCATATCAGAATGTATCGATTATGTGTGTAAAAATGTGGTTTGTATAGAAAAATGTTATTGTAGTGAATCATCATGTGTTGTTTGGTCGGATGGTGTTAATATAAATCATACAAATATTCATTTTAATTTTGAAAAATCAAATTTTGCAACTTTAAAAAATTTAAAAGTAAAACATAATATAATGGGTGTTAAGTTATTAATTAGAGTGGCCGACGGTTTGATTGCCGTAACCACAAATAACTTTTATTATTACATAATGATAAATAAAGAAGAAGAGCCAGAAGAGGAAATTGAATCGTTAGATGATATCTTATCGAAAATAATGGATGGAGGTTTAAAAATTAATTCGCTTAACAAAAAAATTGATCTTGCTGCAAATTATTTGCAGTTTAAAGAATTAATGCAATCAAACACTCTTAAAGATCAGGTAGAATTAATAATGGAAAACAATATATTGTTGATAAAAATGAATTCTGAACATGTTTTTAAAAAAGATTTGTGGAAACTTAGACAGAGTTCATTTGAAAATAAAAAATTTTTTGTAGAAATGACTGATTTGGAAACCGATTTGACACAAGGCATCACACTTAAAATTAATATTCATTTAGTTACCTCAAATCCGATAGAATTATTTTTGATTGGTGATTTTGGTAGCGATTTCAATTTATTAACTTTATATTTGGGTAAAGTAAATATAAATAACTGTAATAAAGATAAAAATAAATTTGAAAGTAATTTGTTGCAACTTGCTAAGAAAAGAAATCCATATTTCAAAGAATAATTATTCATCAATTTAATATATACAATATTACAGTAATTATATGTTTTGTTGAAAATATCAAACTTAAAAGAAGATATTTTAGTTTTTTTTTAAGGAAATCACATGAACTAAATAAAATTAATTTTTAAAAAGTGTCACTAATAATATTATTTATATAATTAAATAATTTATATTTAGTTTTTAGTTAATAAATTATTTGTCCGATTCTGATGATTCAATTTTTTTCCGATTTGATTTCGTTTGAGAAAAAGCACCAATTTCAGTTAGCAAAGATTTTTTATTTTCAAAATAATTTTTAAACCAATTTATGTGATCTTTTTTTTCCCTAACACTGTAATAAAATAAATATTTTATTATAAAATAATAATTTTATAATAATCTGACTGATTAAATATTGTTAATAAAAAATTCCATTACCTTAAATAGGGATTTTTCGATAAACCAATTAAAACCAAATCCATGAATTCTCTAATAGGACCCGAACTGGGACACCATCCTTCTAAATGTTCATGCAAGAAAACATGTTTTGTAAAAGGTACTTCAAATTCTCTTTCCATTCCTTGATCATTATCTATTGGAAAATGCCAGAGTTTTCCTTGATTTGTCCAATCGATCCATTCTTCATATTGATTTCTAGGTGGTTGTAAAGCAAGTGAATGTAATTCCTCTCTTTCTAATTCATTCCATAATGTCATCTCTATGTTGTTTATTTCTTCTGGTTTAGGTTGTTGAAATATTCCCAAAATAGGAGCTCTAAATAATTAAAAAAAAAAAATTGTTAAATTTCAAAAACATTGCAGGATAAAAAAAGAGTAATTTATTTTTGTTTTTGAATTTAAACAAAGAAAATTATTTAAATAAATGTAAATAAATCGAAACCGTTTAATTTCGATTTCTTAATAATAAGTATTTTTCGATATTGAAAAATTTTAAAAACTTACTCTAGCACATCATAACTTTCATCACTACTTATTTCTTGTGAAATTTCTAAATCTTGTAATATATTTAACATTTTAGATGTTATTTTTTTTTCTTCTTGATTAAGAGGATCCATATCATTTTGCATTTCTTTCAAATTCCCCACACCTTAAAATTAAAAACAACGATTATGGTTCGATATAATTACTTAAATGAATTTCAAAAAAAAATTTCATTTCATTTCATGAATGAGAATCTTTCTTTTTTTCAAACTTAATAATAACATTCCTAAATTCAACTTTTTAAAATATTAAAATTCACATTAAAAATTTTTTACAGAAATGAAAAATTTCAACCGAAAAAAAAAAAGATATCATACTCGAGTTAATTGTTTTTATCCTATTAATTAAATCATTTTTTATATTCAAATGATTTTTTCCAAATGCTTTTGAAACATTTTCAGCAGCAACATTTAATTTGTTACCAGTGAATTTTTTTCTTTTATCTCTTACTGGTTTTGGTACAGAAACATTTGTTTTTGTATTTTCTGATGCGAACACATTATTTGAAAGAGAATTTTCAAGTAGTTCTTTAAGTTTAGCTTTCGCTTTCGAAGTATCTCTATCGGAGCTTGATTTTATATTTAATTTTTTATGACTTTTTTTATTTTTATTAATTGCATTTTCCTTTTCATTAAAATCATTTATTTTATTCGAATCGAAACGAATTGAGTGTGTCGTCGTGATTTTCGTCACAACGTTTAATAAATTAGAAGAATTAATTAACCGATACCTAAAAGTGAAAAAAAAAAAAAATGTTTTTTTTAATACATTTCTAAACGAAATAATTTTTTTTAAATAGATAATTTTAAAATTAACGAAACGAACCTAAAATTCTTTATGGCTAACATTATAATTAACGTACGTGGGAGGTTGTTTTCGTTTTAAAACCGACATTTTTATATTTTTCCGACAAAATTATCAACGTTATGTCGACACTTGGGAAATTACTACGCGGTAAAGCCGCGTAAATTTTATTCAACCGCAAAATATAATAATTACCACTACTTCCCATCGGAAAAAAAAATTATAAGAGTATTATTTTTATTTAAAAAAAAAAAAAAAAGTTTTAATCATTTCAAGTCATGGAAGAAGTAAATTCAAACGTTATTGAAAACGTTGAGTATTTATCAAGAGAAAAATTTATAGGATCAAATTTATATGCAGCTAAAAAAACCGTTGCACAGGTAGTTTTTTTTTTCTTTTTTTTTTTAAAAATCATTTAATAAGTGTTTCTTCGACTTACTTTTAAATAAAATTATAAAACTATCAATTTAAACGTGAAATTTTTAATTACGAAATAGTATTTAATCATTTTTATCATTAAAATTAAATTTGGTCATATATCATATTACAGGGCATGATGGATGTCGCTCTTATAACAGCAAATGCTAATCAACTTAGATTCATTGTTGAATATAATCAAAGTTCAAAAACTTATGTTTTAGCAATTGCCCTAATTATAATTAGTTTGGTTTTACAAATGATCGTCGGAATTTGTCTCATTTTTAAAGGTAATACACAAAAACAAAACATTTACTTCTTTACAATATGACATCTTATCAATAATAATTAATTTTTCTTTCCAGGTAGATTGGATTTAAAAGGAGAAGATAAATTTAGACATGCAAATAAAATGAATAATTATATAGTCGTTGGAGTTTTTATAATAACAATAGTTAACGTTTTTGTAGCTGCATTCAGTACAGGACCACCACCACTACAAAAATATTCACAATGACATTAATTAAAATAGGAAAAATTTTTTCCCTTTACAGACTAACAATAAAAATTTACATTTATTTTCTATAATAATAATAATAATAATAATGCTTTAACAATTTTATGAAAACAAAAAAAAAATAATAACGTAATAATAATAATATTAATAATTATAATAATAAATCATTTACAATGCATTTATAATTAATAATAATTAATAAAAAAAAAAATAATAATAATATTTAAATATATATCATTTTACTATCAAAAGAATAGAAAATAAAATAACCAAAAGAAATTAATGTGTGGGTGTACGTATATATATATATTATATAAATAATATATATATATATTATAAAAATAATATATAAAAAAAAAAAAACAAAATTTTGAAAAAAAAAAAAAACGTTTTCTTTGGTTGTAATAAACAAACGTACACTTAGAAGATGTATATATGTAAAAGATATACATATACATATAAGGTCTACTTATAAAATATATTTCATTCAATTACAAGATTTCTATGTATATATATATATATAAACAGATTAATACTATCAAAATAATCGTAACTATTTCATTTTTTTTCCTGTATTTTTTTTTTTTTTAAATTTCAGATCGATAATAAAAATAAATGTATGCAATAATAATAATAATAATAATAATGATAATAATAATATAATGATTTTAATAATTTGCAACTTGATAATAAAAAATAAATAATAAACATTCTTATACATACATGCATATATGTATATGTATATATATGTGATTGTATATATTTATATAAATATATTAAATTTCATTATATTTTATATATATATATATTGGAGATTTGATTTGATAAAAAAAATTAATTTTCGTGACTATGACGAAATTCGTTGCAGAGGAAGAGAGGGAGGGAAGGGGGACGAGAAGTGGGACGAGAAGTGGGAGGGAAGAGGCGGAGCCATTTAAATATTTTACAAATATTTAAAAATAAAAAAAGTTTTTTTTTTTTTTTTTTTTTTTATGCACTGGGTAATATTTCATATTGTTAAAGACGAAGGGGGAGAGGGGAGAGGGGAGGGGAACTATTTCTTATTTTGAAATGAATACTGCATTCAGATGATAGAATCATTCGATTTGTAATGCTGAAAAAAAAAAAAATAAATAAATTTGTGTCGAGGGAAAATATATAATGATGATGATGATTATTATGATAGAAAATTTAAAATAAATTAAAAAAAAGGGAAAGAAAACTTACTTTTGTATATGTATATATAAATGCATTAAATTTATAATTATATATTTATATTTTTTTTTACTGTGGTGAAGATTCGTTCACGTTTTGAGATGATTCGCTATTTTCAAGGACTGGACTTTCTCTTGTCATATTTTCAACAGGCCCATCACTTTTTTCACTCGAGTTTTGATTATTTTGAGAATTCTTATCTTTTCTGGCTTCACCAGATACTAAATGTGAAGGCATGTTCGGCGAATTAGCATCCTGTATTAATTTTCTAGTTTTTTCTCCCTTACGCCATAATGTTATTTCCTTTATTCGTAGAGAGAGAGAGAGAGAGAGAGAAAGAAAAAAAGAAACATTTGTAATTATTTATTCATCGTTGAATAAAATATTTTTTTAAAATAAATACCTGTTGTTTGAAATATCTTCTGTCTTCTTCATCCATAAAAAACTAAATTTAAATAGTATCTTGTTGAAAATTTTTTGTTAATATCTCTCATTGTCGGTGTCAAATCATAACCTGCTAAAAATACTCGAATCGGAATTGATTCTCCTTTAACAGGTGCTCCATCCATAATTTCATATTTGGCTATAGTTTCATTTTCAGTGAATGAATGTGGACCTTTAAAAAAAAAATAAATTTTAATTAAAATAAATTATTATATTATTTATAAAAAAATTTCACTACATACTCGAACCAGTTGTTTCTCTTTTAATTATTGCAATTTCCATGTGTTTTATTTTAATCCTAACGAGCAAAAAATAAATTTTTCCAACTATGACATCTTTTAAATGGTATTTCGATTTATTATATTCGAATTCAATGTGAAGACAATCTTCGATTCCGACTTCCATTTTAATCGATGAATTTGATTCTGGATATGAAGACAATGTGTGAACTATTAATTCTAATTCTTTAACTATGTCTGACAATCTTCTAACAATGGTTACTCTTAAAAAATATCTATAAACAATGAAAAAATTTATATTGCCATTGTTTTCAATCATTTTTCCATGTAAAAAAAACCATAAATAATGAAAAAAGAGTAAATTACCTAAGCCTAACATTTGAACCAGTGTAACTTTCGAATGGTTTTTCTACATTCAAAAATTCAAAATTAAACATTGTGTTTTGAGTGAGTTCACCAGGACGAGCTAATTCTTTAACCAAATTTGTAAATTCATGATGATTCCCTCTGTCATAATATAATTCAATTTGACCGACAAATTCAATTTTAATACCCTGGTGTTCTAATTTAGATCCAGATTTTTTAAGAGTTACGTTAACAGTTCCCGAAACCGTTTCTCCATCGTAATACAAATAATGCTTTTCTTTTTTACCATCTTCTGATTTGATTTCGGCCGTTTTACGATTTTCCACTCCATCCAAAATAATGTCGATTTCGGCACTTTGACCAAAACCCAAAAAATTCTTTAAAACAGAAAAAAATTATTTGTAATTTTTTATAAAATTATATCACACACCATGATTTCATATCAGAAAAATATT